TAAAAAGTTGCCTTTTAGTTATACTTTAACACAGTACACAAAAATCTGAAACATGCCATAATGTGGAACCCGGAGCCTGAAGGTCACATTCCAAGCAAGTCCTGCAGAGTCCAGGTACAGCATCCAAAGTTATTGCAGAGGATAGGCTATTCGCGATAGTCTAGATAGCTGCAAAAATAGATCAGTTCAATGAGCATAAAGGTGAAGTCTTAATTGAAGAAGAGAAAAATCTTGAAAAAAAAGGAAATAAAAATGGCTAATAAAAGCAGTTACACTTCTCAGTAGAGAAATGGCATCCTGTTTGTTATTACACTAACAAAACACTGAGGCATGCTGGAGGGAGGGGGGTTATACGAGGGTGGTCACTTTTTATTTGCTAGTGTCCTGATGTGGCAATATAACCTGGTCACTTGTGAATCCCATGGCCCTCAAAGAATGAGAAACTTTTTTTTTTTTTTTTTTTTTTTTTTTTTTAGCAGAGAACAGACTGGAGAAAGGAAGCACAATTTCTAAAACAAATTTTAGCTTATATATATTTTTTTTACCGGTAATTATATTTATATTCTAAATTTATATTTCAGCACCATGACATGCATACCAAGAATAACTTACTGTACTGTGGGAGGAAAAAAATCAATGCATAGCTCTCCCCTCCCTCTCACATGTACAGTGAGGAAAATTAATTTTTTGATCCCCTGCAGATTTTGTAAGTTTGCCCACTTACAAAGAAATGAAGGGCCTATAATTTTTATCACAGGTATATTGTAAATGATGGATACACAATATATCAACCAAAAAAAAAAAAAAAAGCCACATGATACAAATGTTATAAATTGAGTTGTAGTTCAGTGAATAAAATAAGTATTTGATCCCCAAGCAAAACATGACTTTGTACTTGGTGGAGAAAACCCTTGTTGGTAAGCACAGAGGTAAAACCTCTCTTGTAGGTGGGTACCAGGTTTGCACACATCTCAGGAGGAATTTTGTTCCACTTGTCTTTACAGATCTTCTCTAAATCCTTAAGGTTTCTTGGCTGTTGCTTGGCAACTCAGTTTCAGCTCCCTCCATAAATTTTTCTATAGAATTAAGATCTGGAGACTGGCTAGACCACTCCATGACCTTTAATGTGCTTCTTCTTGAGCCACTCCTTTGTTGCCTTGGCGGTATGTTTTGGGTCATTGAAGATGGGTAGTGGATGGGTCTTCCAGAATGAGTGTTCTGGCTGCGGGAAGAAGGTTCTCATTCAAGCTTGTACAATACATGGTCCTGTCCGTTGGCTCCTCAATGTGGCAAAGTCAACTGTACCTTTAGCAGGGAAACGGCCCCAAAGCATGATGTTTCCTTGTCCGTGCTTGACTGTAGGGATGGTGTTCTTGGGGTCAGTCAGCATTTTTCTACTTCTAAACACGGCGAGTCGAGTTAATACCAAATAGCTCAATTTTGGTCTCACCTGACCACAGCACTTTCTCCCAATCCTTCTCTGAATCATTTTAGATGTTCATTGGCAAAGTTCAGACAGGCCTGTACATGTGCCTTCTTGCAAAGGGCAACCCTGCGGGCGCTGCAGCATTTCAATCCATAGTGGCGTATTGTTACCAATGGTTTGTCTGGTAACTGTGGTCCCAACTGATCTTTCACAAGCTTCTCCTGTAGTTCTGGGCTGATCCCTCACTTTTCTCATGATCATCCTTACCCCATGAGGCAAAATCTTGCATGGAGCTCCAGACCCAGGGCGATTTGGTTATTTTGTATTTCTTACATTTGCGAATAATTGCTCCAAACAGTTGTCTCCTTCTCATCAAGCTTCTTGCTGATAGTCTTGAAGCCCATTCCAGTCTTGTGCAGCTCTATAATCTTGTTCCTGATGTTTTTTGACAGCTCTTTGGTCTTGCCCATGGTGGTGAGGAAGGAATAGATTATGTGGACAGGGTTTTTTTTTTTTTTTTTTTATTACACACATACTGAGTTGTCATTAGGAGCACCTTCTTAAATTGACAGGACTTAAATTGACAGTACCACATGAGCTCATAGCCAGTCTGTGGGAGCCAGAATTATTGTTGGTTGGTAGGGGATCAAATACTAGCTCACTGAACTGCAACTCAATTTATAATATTTGTATCATGTTTTTCTGGATTTATGGTTGATATTCTCTCTCTCATTTAAAATACACCTATGATAAAAAATTATAGACCCTTAATCTTTTTTTTGTAAGTGGACAAACTTACAAAATCTGCAATGGATCAGATAATAATTTTCCCCACTGTATCTATATAAAGTACATATATTAGAAACCTGGTTAATTTAATGGTTTATTTTGAGATGCTTATAGAATGCCCATAAAATCCCATACCCTGTCCAACAATATCCATGGTGCTAGTGGTTAAAATGTCCAGCAATATCCCTCACCATTTAATGCATATACTATCCTAGTGGTTAAACATAATTCACCTACATATCCTTGATGATCTAGTGGTTACACAAAGTACGCAAGCCTGTTTATACTGGCCAGCAATGCTACTGACTAGGTGGTTAGATAAAATGATTTGCAATATCACTAGTGATCTTGTACCTTGTGGTAAGACATGAACTTGGGCATCCTCTGAATTCTTTAGCTGAACCCCAAGATCGCTTTTTTTTTTTTTTTTCCACGTCAGCTGCAGGCTGGGTCATTCAAACCCCAAAGCTCACATATACATAGAGGCTGGCCATTGGGCTGGAATGACCTGGCTGACTGCTTATAATATATTGGAGTAAAGAGTGTTTGTCATTTGGCTACAAATGAGTTCAAAGGATGCTCATCTCTGCTTGTAATTTAGTGGTTTGGAAACGGTGATGATGCTTCATGGTCAAAATGATTAAAATAATAAATTGCCCAGCAAAGTTTTTGGTAATTCAGCCTTTGTTAATCACACCTTAAATCAGGGGTAGGCAACCTTTGAGAGGTGGAGAGCTACCTGAACAACATGAGAGATCAAAGATCACTGGGGTTTAGTGCAATTTTAAAAGAGGCCTAACTAAATAGTAAGGACAATTGTAGAAAAATATAATAAAGCAAATGTCACTGTAAAAATACAAACTTTGCCCAACTGACTGACACTGTCCATTTTTATGGTAGGCTGAGGTTGGTGTCAGGGTAGAGGATGGTGTCAGTGTGGTGTTTTTTAGGAGCCCTTTTGAAAGGGGAGAACTTGGGGTAGGGGCCAGGCAGCAGAAAAAAAGGAGGAACAAGGACAGGAGGGGCAGAGGGGGAGGCATTTACTAGATCGATCCCCTGGATTTTTCTCCTATAGGAGCTGTACGGTGCTCCAGGAGGACAAAAGGGATCATCGGAAGACAGATATTTTAAGAATCTGAATTCCCAGCAAGTGACCGGGGACTGGGATTTTACCACCCCCCCTCCAAGGCCGCCTAAACGGCCTCTGTGGTTAGTTCTCCAATATGTTTGGAACAACCTACCTGCCGAGTTCCTTCAACAACAGTGTGCAAGTGTACCTAGAAGAATTGATTCTGTTTTTGCAGGCAAAAGGTGGTCACACCAAATATTTTGATGTGACATCTTCTGGTCATTAACTTTTCAGTTTAATTGAAAATAAACTAACACTTCTGTTTCTGAAATCATTCTTAATTTACAGCTTTTTTTCACACCTGCCCAAAACTTTTGCACATTAGTGTGCATTCCTATCCAGGGCTGTGAAAGGCCTAGACACGTGTTACCATTTAAATGAAAAAGGCAACTTCTCTCCCTTTCATTGTGGCCATGCTCTGCAAATTGGCCAGGACAATCAACTTAAAGTGGAGTTCCAGCTGAAAAAAAGTCAGCAGCTACAAAAACTGTAGCTGCTGACTTTTAAAATACAGCCACTTTCTTGTCCCTGAGTCCAGCGGTGTCTTCACTGTCTCCTCTCCCTGGCACCGCCATCTTTAGTGTGGGCACCCGGCTGTGACAGCTTGTGGCTTCACAGCCAGGAGCCCACTGTGCATGTGCGAGAAGCGCTGCGCTTTGTGAATTGCCCAGTAGTCTTCTGGGATCTGTCACGTGTCCCAGAAGACTGCAGGGAGGGAGGACAATCTCTGCTTTCGATCGCCTAGGCCAGGGGTGTCAGAGTGGTGGCCCTCCGGATGTTGTGAAACAACAAGTCCCATCATGCTTCTGCCTTTGGGTGCTTGTAACTGTCAATCTTGCAATGCCTCATGGGACTTGTAGTTTGGCAGCAGCTGGAGGGCTGCCAGTTTGACACATGTGGTCTAGGCGATCGCAGCTAAAGTGGGAGCGGGTACCTGTCAAATTCAGGTAACTGCTTCCCAAAGGTGCCAATCCTTAATGGGGAGCAGGGGACAAAGCATTAAAGCGGAACTTCCCCTTTTTCCCCTTTTTCGTGGAACTCCGCTTTAGTTGGCACAGAAGAGCAGACACTGTATTATGATCATTACTAACCAGCATGTTTTCAAAAGGAAGAGCTTTTTAACTTGATATCCCTAAAATTGAAATGCATTACTTACTTTTTATACTATAGTTGTGTTTTTTTTTTTTTTTTTTTTTTTTAATTCATGCATTGTCCATGAAGGTTGTAATTTTTCCAGGTTTGCTATAGTGAATAGTATTTAGTGTCATTTTAGCTGGACTTTAGTAAAGTTGAAGATATTTTACCAGTCATCCAAGGGGCTTCCTTAGGTGAGTGCTGGAAACATTAATATGTTTCACCCCTTAAGTTATGTCTTGAACAGTCAGTATTTGACTAAACACATTTCTTTGACACCATGTTAAGGTGTTCTTAATAAGGTGGCTGTATGTTCTCAACCCTTCTTTGAACACTTTTTCGAACAGAGGAAGTCATGAAACATTTTAAATCTGATAAAAAGCTCTAGTTGAGGACTGCTACCACCATCTCTACTAAAATAGTCTGATATGAAGAAAAAGAAAATCAGATTTGTTATGATTTTTTTTTTGAACATCCGTTAAATATGATGCTATATGCTGATTTTCTGTCCTTTTCTCTTAGGAAAGGTGTTTGTGGCCTTCAGATAACTTAGAGTCACGACAAGGAGCATCAGAGGTATGTTTTTAAAATTTTATTCTTCTCTGATTCTTTTCCAGGCTCTTTTAATATATACAGTTTTATATACTAACACATAAGCTGATTAAATAGAAATCTACTCCTTTTACTTATCTAGCCATCTGCTCTCTCCTCTGTAAGATACAATAGACATGGTTTTGCATGGAATGGACTTTAGTCAAGTATCAGGTTTAGTAGCGATTTAGTATCATGGACCTTGATTGAAACATTTCTATGTGTACCTTGGGTTTATCTATGTGTAAACTGTCCTTTTTATTGTATGATCTATTATGCACAGTAGCGATTTCTGGTCCCTTCTTCTCGCTCTTGCTCAGTATTCGAAAAAAAGGTGCACTGCTCCCCATGGAATAAGTGTTAATCGTGTCAGATATCGGTGGATTCCTCATATTTAATGTCTTGGGTATTCTTACCATAGTGAGTCTTCTGCACTACAATTCTCAGATCAGCCCAACTGCCATGTCTGGTAAGTGAGGGTCTTCCAATTAGATTTCTAAATGTTTTCACGTTTTGGAAAAGAAGATTGAGGTGGCTTCTGCTGCAGCTAGTGGAGTGAGATTTCATTGCAGGTTGGCAAAAAAACAGCAGCTCCATAAAATAGATCATCACCTTTAATTCCCTAAAATATTTGAAAAACAAACCGCAGGTAATTCAGACAGTAAGCATCTTCTAATTGATACATTTTTGCATCAACTGGTGAAAACACTGACTGTGCGATTCCTGGATGATGACTATTCTTTTAATAGGTTCCTTTCTTTTATGTTTAGATGCATATAAAATCTACAGTATTTGTACATACAGATGAAAACATATTGACATTTTGAGCTTGTCCATATTCCTCAAGTTGTCTTGCTTTATTGTAGATCATGTACGCATCAAGGTCAAGAGACAGATTCACGACTCCTTCCTTTATGCAGAGAGATCATTTTAGCCGCTTCCAGCCAACATATCCTTATATTCAGCATGAGATTGACCTTCCACCTACTATTTCCCTATCTGATGGAGAGGAGCCTCCACCCTACCAGGGTCCATGTACTCTGCAGCTACGGGATCCAGAACAGCAGATGGAACTTAACCGAGAATCTGTCAGAGCACCTCCAAACAGGACCATTTTTGACAGTGATTTGATAGATATATCGATGTACAATGGGGGTCCCTGCCCACCTAGCAGCAATTCGGGCATCAGTGCAACCAACTATAGCAGCAATGGCCGAATGGAAGGGCCACCACCAACCTACAGTGAAGTTATGGGAAACTATCCAGGCTCATCGTATTTCCACCACCAGCAAAATAACACCTCTCCTCCTTCTCAGACAAGTAGTAGACTTACATTTCAAGCAAGTGATGCAGAGAGCACAGTAGTTCCTGTCAATGGAAAAGACAGACAGCCAGGGAACCTTGTTTGAATCCTCCCAACCTGAACTTATTCCACACTGAGGCAAGAGGTCATCATAGTTGTCTCATGACTTTCACAGCTCGACTGCCCAATGCATTTGAGCTTCAAGTGGTACAAGTTAAACCAAATGCACATATTATTGTATGCATAATCTGATACCAGTCAGAGGAAAGCATGCAAATGGATTGAATGATATACACGTCCTTTCTGTTCATGATTTGTTTCAGGAAGAATCATTTTTATATTATCATGTTTCAGTTATTTAAATTTTGCAAGATCTTGGCACAAAACTCAAACTTTTCAAAGCTTATTTTATACTGACATTGATGACAGTCACATAGAACAAGTAAGTGTTAACTTAGAAATGCTATGGTGTTTTAGGGAGATGGCCAGTGTTTGTGGTAGGGAACGTGTAGGTGCAGTGCTAAATATTTCATAGAAATCTATACCATATTCCAGGCATGTGTACAGTGTATGAAATGAGTGAATGAAATGAATGAATATGCTGAGTATTAAACCTGTTTTAGGGCTAAATTCACTAAATTGCAGTAATACAAACCGCATGCACACATATGAATTGTTTCCCTTGCAACATTAACCGTTTTTTTTAAATTTTTTTAAATCTCAATGTGTGAAGCTTCCCAAGTCCTTCTTAAAAAAAAAAAAAAAATTGCCACTCCCCAGAGGCACCAGTCCTGGAAGCATATGGGCTGGCATCTCTAAACCATCTTTAATCCCCTTAAAACATTGACTCATTGCTAAAGTACACAAGACTCTAACACCCTTTAAAATAAAGATTAAAAAAAAATACAAAGAAAATGTTACAGAAGCCAATATTGCATTAAGAAAACCATTTGTAATCAAAACTCTGCCTTTACCATTTATTTGTAGGATGTAAAAACAAATCCATATGTCATTTAGTCTTCCACATGCTCCATACGTTTAAAAATGTTACTGCCAAATGCATAAAGCAATTTATGTGTTTTCAAAGTTTCCATATTAGTGCTCTATGGTGAATTCAAGACCAATTTTTCAGTCTGTGGGTCGAGATCAAAGGGATATTTAACTCTGCCAAGGATCCACCTGTCAATAGTAGGAAAAACATTCTTGGCCAAAGGACTGGGGAGACCAATAACCGTATGGATGAGCTTTTTACTCTGTTATAAAACAAGACCACTTTGCTAATTGGTTACATTTTTTTTGTGGCTTCTGTATTAGAACTTTTCATGCATGACTGGTTCACTGGGACAGATATATAAAAAAAAACTTACTGTCCTCTATGTGGCTTATTGTTTTTGTGGACCCATTCCTCTAGAAACACGGGCTCAAAGCTAAGAGGCACATGTGCTGGCATCATAATGGCAAAGGGAATGAATGCCACTTGTATGGTTGGTGTGCTGGGATGGTATCTTGGGGAGCTCCACACATTTTTCATTTGAAACTGAAACCATCAAGTGCTAATTCTGTAACCCCATTGGACAGCTTCTAAATTATTGGTGCTTAATGTTCTTTTTAAAACCTTACGTGTTTATTACTGATTGTGTTTATTCTGTTTATTTTTATGCTAATCAGTATTTGAGTTTTAATAAGAAAAGTGGGTATAACGCTCAACTTACAAATCTTTAGTGAATCTAGCCCTTAGAGAAAAAAAGTTGCACTAACTGTTCGGATTATCCTTTTATAAGGGAAATGTGGTATGTTAGTCTATATTTATCTTGCAATATTTCCTGTTGTGGGCTTAAGATTCCCAATGTTTTAGATGCCCAACAAAGGAGTACCATCCATAATTATATATTCCATGTGGTTATCTGCAGTATACAAAGGGATTTATTGAATGGGTACCTCTGAAAAATTGCAGTCCCCAGAGAGTTGGGTGAAATGGGTGCACTGTGTAAATACTTATCCTCCATACCCTTTATCCATAGTTAAAGCATCAGCCCAACACTTCTGGTCTCCATCAGCATATGGGTTCTTGTGCCTGTGCAAACAAATAATGTCCACAGGACTCCAACCCCCTGAAAAAGAAGGGACATGGTATTTAAACTGGTGTATAGGAGCACAATAAGTATTAACATACCACACTCGGCTCTTCTCTCTCATGATGTTCTCCTGTAATAACATAATATACTTGGCTACACACATACAGCTTTCATATATCTAAACTGATAAAAGTTGATCTGTGAGTGGTGTTTATGGGTTACAACACATCGCTTTGGACTTGCTTTTAAATTAGCCACTGAGTCTTTAAAACTGTAGTGGAGATTATATAACTATTTTGTTGGCAGGTTGAAATACCTACTGGCTTCTTTTATTCCCTGAATTGCAACTGGACATCTGGACTTTCATACTCGTTGGGGATTTTCATTTATTTGGCATTTTAGTACATGCAGCCAAGAAAAAGATTGAAAGTGAGTCGGTTTAAAGGTGATTTCTGTGGCAGGGACATCTTGCTGCTAGTCTTCACTGGGAACTATAAGAGGCCAATAGGCGTTTTTGATCCTAACATCAGATTTAAAGGAATTGACCTGAGACTGGTTTTCAGTTTGGGGTCAACTAATGTGCTAACTCTCCACATGCTTTTAAAGCTTGCATATTAGTCTATACCTAAAATATCTGGTATACAGATGCATTGAAAATTTACATTTCTCAAAAACTGGAAAACCATTTTTTGCCTATCTCTGATCTTCATTAATATATAGGCTTTTTTAAGAGTGAAATAACACCATTCTACCAGATGCTGTATGTATGTAGGTGAAATCACTGAACTGAATAATGCCTCTTCACATTTGGATATGTCGTTTCTTTACTTTTTATTTGCACCTAAATTTTACCACCATAATTTTACATTGCAATACTACTGGCAGTATACATTACAATTTTTGGTTACAAAGGGATTTTGGTTCTTATTCATGATGATTCAAAAGCCACCTATATCATTGGTGAACTGGCTGTAGAACAAAGTCAGGCGTTTTTGTTTTAGAATGCCTGAGTGGACCAGTATTAAATCACTACCTGTGCTTATGTTTCCAAACTGTGTGTCAGATAAATGCTATTTGGAGTTAAGGCAGCGTATTTTTAATTACCATCTGGTGGCTAAAATGGTGTTCACTTGCAGCAGACTATAGGATTAGGAGAGCACAATGAACAAATGCAGTCCTAGAGACCATTGATCTTTGTGTTGTCCCTAGGTGTCTGGACATTTTAACACTTTAGCTGTCTATCTGTTCATTGTGGTTATTTGATTTAGTTTACTGCTGACACTTGGACTCTGGCACAGGGAATCATGGTAAGCGCAGGTAGCAACTTCTGCGCCACTTATGCGGTATGACAGATGGCTTATCAAGTCTGTGACATGTTTGGATGTTAGATAATGCAGAGAGCCAGAAAAGCACTTGGTATTCCAAGCAATTTTTATAATTTTTTTCATCTGCGATCAGTGTTTTTCTCATTTTAACCCTTTTTTTTAATAGATAAAAGCAAACTTAGACCATTGTTTGGCCATTTTGTGGTATGCATATAATATTGAGTCATAACGATGCCATCACTTTTTTTTTAATGTCCCTCTTACATTAGTTAACAACCTAACACTCTCAATCTCTATCTGCTTTTGATATTATATATGAAGCATTTTTATTGGTAAAAAAATAAAATAGAAAAAAATTAAATTAATTCAAGGCTTTAAAATGTTTTAACTAGATTGTGTAAATTGTGTACATTGCTGGCTTGTTTGTCTAAAATACCACAGGCTAAGATTTTACTCGTGGTCAGTGTGTCTGCATAAAAGGATGCCAGGGAGGAGATTTTTAACTTATTCTCTAACAACCTACAAGAATGATTGGGCACAAAGATATCACCGCTAGTGACTTTGGGCCTTTAAAACCAGCTGCTATTTTTGTAATTCAGCACTTGTGCTTTGAGCAGATTCCTTTATGACTCTGAGCCAGGCTCTAGGATTGTACAGATATCAGTGTTAAATGAATCAGTAGGCTAAGCACACTTAAAATGGCCAAATGTGTTTTGAAAAGAAAAATGTGTTATTAGTCTAAGAATTTGTGTTGGTGGACTTTGGGCTTGTTGATGGCCTCAATTTGAGACACTCCTGACAGTAATCAGAATTCATTGACAAATGCTTTTGACCTGCAGTTGACCACCTCTTGACCTGCATTTGACCTGCTTAAAGCGGGTTTTACAGTCCCGTAGGCTTGTATGGGAATTCGAAACCTGTTTTATTCTTAAAGATAAACTCCAAGCAACCGGCTAAATTTATACAAATTAAATACATATGAGAGCTGTTTTTTACCTGACAAAAGCTGTATATTTCTGCCCATCCATTCCTGAGATTTAGACTCCTCTGCCACATAGCACAGCTCTCTGGCAGATGAAATTTGATTTTACTCAGCTACAGTTAAGTAATACTAAAAACTTTGTCCCTCCCCTAGCATGGGATTGAGCAGTTAAATTGATCAAGCTACTGCCTTTACCATCACTGTGGTTTCCTCCTATCAGCATGCTCCTTGCTGGCACACAAGTGTTGCAGCACAATGGATTGGCTTATTCAGTTGCATTTCCCTCTCCCAGTGTGATCTCCATTGTGCATGGTACTGGAAGAGGTTGATGCAAAGTCAAATATAGTTACACTGCTTGCATTATAAATGTATTTATTAATATGGCGATACATTACTTTGTGGCTTTTAAATCTGTCTGGAGTTCAGCTTTAAAAATATTTTACATGACAAATGACATTTGAAACCCATATCTGATACTGATACCATCATGCAGTAACATGTTAGATCCTCCCCTTCACATTATTCTCTTGGGTAGCTCCAGAGCCATGTTTTGTGTTTTTATCTGTACCATCAGCTAAACCTGATGCTGCTACTCATCATGCAGATAGAATAGCATTCTCTATGTGCTTTTACATTTTGGTGCAGGAGAATGGGGCTGTTCCAGGAAAAAGGAACTCCTTTTTCACCAGTTATACTTATCTGCATAATGTCTTTTATTTATATC